GAGGTTCTGAAGATGGTCCTGAAGGCGGTACGATGAATTTGTCTACCGCAGGACGACAGAACCAAGACACCTATGCCAGCAGGGCCGCTGGAGGTCCTAAAGATGGTCCTGAAGGCGGTACGATGAATTTGTCTACCGCGGGACGACAAAACCAAAACACCTATGCCAGCAGGGCCACTGGAGGACATTACCTTCACACCAAAGCATAGGGTGCTAGTTACTCATATACATATCCCAGTTACCGATTGTGAATGATCGATGGTTTTGCATAAATACAAACATTTTTAGCTTATAAACAATGAAGTTATTTTGGAAAGGATATGTCCTTCCAACAAATTTTACCTATGATAATTTTACTTTAAAATCCTATAATCTACTATTTTTAAGGTGATATTTGTCTTTCAATTCGACAAAAGAAAAAAACTTTCCGAAGAATTAAAGCAAGCTTAGGAATTAAACACTTATCAATTTCAAGCACCAAAGTAAGACTTTTTCAAAGTTTTAAAAATATATAGATCCCAATAAGCTTAGGCTGACCACAAACGTGCATCAAATATATATTCAATGATATAGATATAGCCATTTAAAACTATCTACAAATAGTTAGATCTTTGCCATGGCTTGCATGACCACTTGAAATGGTGGTCCCGTCTCACTCAGAGACGTTAAAAAAGAGGGCCACAAGTTTATCAGTTACAATAGTCACGTGCTACCCTCTCTAAATAACTTCGTCAATTCTATTTTTGATTTCATTTTCTACGTATGCATGCTTATATATGTTTTTCAAATCAACTTATGAATATTAAATAGCTAAATATGGTTAGTCAACAAAAACGCCGGTAGCCGAAACCTAAAATGGATCTTTAAGGATCATGGTAATAATTTAATAGCTTTTTGATGCAAACTACGGCTGTTGTATCACAGCATGGGACAATAATCACAACAGAGCCCTAAGCTACACCTGTAGCGAAAGCCACGAAACATCGAATTAGAATTATAGAATTTATTCATTTATTGTTTTATTTATTTTTTATCTAATTTGTTAATAAGATATTTGACTATAGGTTTACCAGGGACGTACTCACATAGGGTTATGCATGGGATACTCGTACTACAAGAGGCTAATTTCGAGTTTTAATTTTTACACACACAAATTTCGTAAGATTTTAAATTCCAATTTTCTAAAACGAGAAACGAAACGTCGGTGGCATTTTCTGTATGTTCCGCACTACTGGAACTATTTTCTTCAAGAACGAGTTACACATACGAATACACTTAAATTTCAACACCCTCGACCTTCATGCCCCCTCGNCCCCCCCCCCTCTGTTCCCCTCAATTCCTTCCTGGGTGCGTCCCTGTACCAAACTGTATATTGTTTCTGAGGTTTTTTATTTACTAATTATTACTAAGTACGAGACTGAAAAAAATGCACTCTGCAAAAAGGTTAGCTAGCAGTGTAAGCCCCTTTTGCAAGTCACACTATGTAACCCGGTGCCCTTCCACTAATGTCTGTACCAGCGAGTGAAGACGCGAATGCTTTGAAAAATCTAGGAGAAATGTGCCTACAGATTCAAGCCGGGTTCTACAAGAAAATCCTTCCCGGCTACTTCACTCCCATAAGGAGTTACAAAGTTGCAACCCTAAAAAAAGATATTGAGAAGCTTTCTAAGACAGTAAACGAAAAGGCTGAAGCTCGTAAACGATGGGAAGACCTCAAATCCACTCTACAGTTGAAGGAGGAAGATTTTGAAGAAGCTCTTGATGCTCTACAGGAAGGATACAACCGAAGCCACAATTTAAAACCACCAAACCTAAATGTAAAAGTGCTAAAAGAATCAGCTGAGTCATTGGAAAGGCAAAAAATCTTGAAGGGATGGATCTCTCTGGAGCGAGTCAACGGTCTGATAGATATTTGGAAAAACCTCGTGGACTGTGGTGAAAAAGCCTGAACAGTCATTGCAATATCGGACTGAAACTTTGCTACGTAGTAAGGCTTTTAAAATCTACGAAATCTCAAGCATATTGCTTTGGAAATCTGATGGGGTAAAAGAAAACGGGCAAGACCAATTTTAGCTAACGCTAGGGATTAGTAGATTGCCGCGACAGTTTTCATTGTGATCCTTAATACAATAATAGGAATGTCTGTAGTTAAAACCATAAACTTGAACACACAATTTCTAATTCACTATATTCACTGACTAGAATAGAGATACTAAATAGAAATGCCTTGTAAATTAGTATTAGAATCTCGACAACATGGTACTCGGAATCGCTGAAGTTTTATAGCACACGCGCGGGAAAATCGACAAAATGCAAATTCTACATTATTTTCTAGAACTCATTAGATTTTGTTTACCAAAATTCATCTTTTCTGAGTAACCTTTCGTCACGGTAGCCACACAACGTTCGATTCATTGGTGTTATTTTCTAATGGTTATAAGTCTCAGCCTGTTCGATTTCTAGAATTGAAATTCTTATTATAGAATTGTAACCGCTGCGCAGTTGCGCCTCTAATTTGTGCTGATGATGCTATTCTGTTTTCAATATTTTGTCAGTAGATTTAGGGGAATTTCTCGAATAAAATACGACTTGTGATCTGCAGAACTAGTTTATTTAAGGCAATATTAGTAGAATAATGAATGTAATTCATTTTCTGCAAACCTAATACTAGACATGTAAGAAGATAGATTGTGAAACTCTTGCTGACAATAACTGAACCTATTTTTATATTTTAAAATGTTTACTTCTTGAAAATGAAACTTCTCCAAAATTGCAACCTTGCAGGCCAAGATAGAACTAGGAGGTTACAACTAGGAGCCAAATCATTTAATAGAATCTCAATATATTTTTCTTGGAATAGCGGAAGTTTCTATAGTCTCCTAGCAGCAGCCCTAGCTAAATTTTAAAACCACTGTAGTGCGCCCTAACTTTTGCCGATGATGAATTCAATGTCTTATTATTTTCTGCAAGGCTAAGAATAATGTCATTATTGATTTATTATGATTCTCGTTAAGAATAGTGATCAGTTTCATTAAAAAGAATTTAACCTATTTTTCAAAGCCGGAGATCTCTTTTTAAGAAAAAACCCAAGTAATGGAAAAAAAACTTAAGTTTCTGCCTATGCTGATGATAGTATTTTTCAAAATAATGATAAATGTGAATAGACATCTATAGAACCGCAGAAACAATCTTGTGAGCGGGAAGGTATTTGATTGGAGCGGTGTGGTTCTATAAATGTTCTTAATGAAATATGATGAAAGAAATAATAAGATAATAAAATAAGATTTAACAATGGCTCTTTACATCAGAGAGCCGGTTCTTCATCCACTGAAATTCCAATGAATTTTTTTGTTGATTTTATGGAGGTAGGAAAACCAGAAAACCCGGAAAAAAACCCCTCATATCACAGGAAAGAACCAACAAACAACTTTACTCACGTGCGACACCGAGCCGGGAGCAGTAAGTAAGTAATGAGGTATTAGAATGATCAAAGATATTGATGCGTGTTTAAATTTTTTCTGTAAAAAAAAAAGAAGAAAATTGTCATCGTCGCGACCGCACTAAGCTTCAAAAGTTTTGTCTTACCATTATAGCTCAACTGTAACACTTGTTTGCCAGTAACCATCTCATGGATGGTTGAAGAACTTGCCTCACCATCACATGAAAGTAGATCTTAAGAGTGTTTTAGGTCTCTCCCTTGATTGAAGATTTTTTTATGATAAAGATTCGATAGTTTACGCATGCACAATTTTAACTTTTCGCTAAGACTGTTGTGCTGCAAGTATTAAAATTTTCGTAGTAGTGTCGCACGACAGCGACAAAAATATTCGAAATAGCTTGCTGCAATACAGCGGCATTACAATGCTCGCAAAAATATTTGGATTTGCTACATTAAGCCTGGTTTCCATATCATCGAAAACGATCGGAACGATCGAAATAAGAAATTTTTCGATCGTTCGCGATCATATGGAAACAAAGTTTTTCGATCGTACGATCGTTTTGGATCACGATCGTAATCGATTGAAAAATTATAACCGCGGGTTCTAATTTTGCGATCCGTCTCGATCCGTTTCGATCGTCTGCGATCATGGAAATACTTTTTTTTCGATAATGTAATGCCATAGCAACGGTTTTCTTGTTTACAAACTTTCCGCTGGCACTGGAAGTAACAACTAGTAGCTGAAGTTTTCGGGATTCGGCCAACTCAAGCCGAAAAAAAATATCCTGAACGTCCGAAGAGCATATGGGCGTTTCTTAAAACGAATGAAAAATATTCCATCAGGTTCTGGCATGGATGCTGTACCTAGGGAATACTCAAATCTCGACTGGCTCAGTCTGTATACATCAAACATCGAAAGACCAGCTCTAATTTGGAATTTTGACCTTTATCAGATCATATGGAAACGGCCGTTTTTCGATCGTTTGTTGCGATCGTACGCTCCAGTGAGCTCCACGATTCTGCGAAAAAAGTATATTAAAAAAAAATTGTATATTTTTATTTTGATAATGGTATTTAAAAACTCAAAAAAGTAGACTAGAATTATTTTAGAGTTTTGTCGGGACATGCTCAGGCATATTATATGTCATTGGTAAGAATTAAGGCCTTATTTGACCCCGTGACGTACGGAAGTTATAACTTATTTAGGCTCTTTCTTCAATCGTTTTGGTTAGATTCAACGCCAAAATGGTATCGAATCATGAAATTTCCCCTTAGTATAGTAGTAATAAATTATGCGTTCGGTGTGTATATAATGAAGTAGAGAGAGTAAGAGAAAAATATCAAATGCCCTTGGCAGGATTCGAACCCACGTCTTCGGTATTCTAGTC